AGACATTAAAAATAGACATCTTATTTAGACTAGGGTAGCCCTGGCCTTTCGTAGCTTTATCATAATCTTCGAAATATGAAAAAGGAGACCTATCATCAGTTTAGCAGGAAAAAATACATATAATGCTGCAAGTAAAAAGGAATAAAATCTAACTAAAGACTAAAAAAGGCTTTTAAGCTGTAATTCGGATAAGGTAGCACATTAAATCGATAAAATGAAAACGAAGGAGAAGAAAAAAGTTGTGTCTACGAAATGACAATTTGGTGCTTGTCCTCAAGATAAGCAATTATCTCCGTGCAACTATGACAATATCAATTATTATTTGCAAACTGTCAAACTAGCGCGCTTTGAACAGACCAAAATGTGAAAGTGCAAGAGTTTAAAAACCGCAAGGTAACAAAAGAAATAGATGACTCTGACTTCAAAACAAAGTAACAGAAAAGATCTACAGATGTTTGATCTTACCTTGAAAACTTGGTGCTGATTCCTCAAAAATGTTTGCAATCCTCCACATTGTTGCTTCATAAGCTGCTTTTCCTCATCTGTTAACATTGTTGCTAACTCACTAAGCTCAATCGCCCCTCCACATCGCCATCCACTAGAATACAAACACAAAACAATTTCATACGAGATGCAAAACGAAATTGAAACTTACTCTCTTTCCTCATTACTGCTATACAAGATTTTGTCAAAAAACCGATTTATTAGATCCAATCGAATCTCTGCTGGTACATTAAGGCAGTTACGAATCTGAAACTTATCTTCTCGACAACAATGAAGGATGACATTATTGATGCCCTCTTATCATTTCGTCTAGGTCACACTCAGTGGCTACAGTTAAGAATCTAACGTACAGAAAAACCGCACCTGCTCAACTTTCGGTCTAGCAAGGAATCCTTTGCTTGAAGAGCCCGTGAGTTCTTGGATAACTTCTTCAACATTTGGCACAAGACCTTGAGGAGGTATATTGCAAACGAAGCAGAGCTAAAGTAGCATTTGGCGTTTTTAACCAAAAATGAGAAGTCTTATGGTGACAGAAACATAAAAATAGTCCAAAATACCATGACATGATGAGATAAATTGGCTGATTTCTGATATCTACACTCGAAAAACATGGCCAAGGGCAGAGGAAAACCACATATTTTCCAAATGATTTGCGAGATGCACAGCGGTAAGACCCACTTCACGTAAAACTTCATGCTCAGTGTATAAGGCCGATCCGTACTTTTGCGGGAAATCCTCATTTCGCTACACTTTCCAGTAATCTGATTACCAAATGCAAATCAGTTGAGCCATCAAAATGCTATGACAATGCCGCTAATTGTCAATAAAACCAAGCTATATAAGCCATTATATCTATTTTTCTAATCAAACCTTAACAGGTTAGTAGATTATCCAGAATTTCGACATGCTTAACGTCAACTCCATCGGGAAAAGCACTTTTACAACAATTTCACAGAATAGCGCTTCCAATCCCTATCCTAAGCCGAGTAAGAGAAGTGCGATTGAGTTAGACTGTTGTTGCCTTTCGACGAGACACATCTACATCATATTAGAAAAACAATTGTTCTTTCATGAGCGAGACCATGTCGCCCCATGACGCACAGCTCATCCGCAATTTAAATGCGAGAGACCTTATACCCGGGTAAAAAGGTTATTGGTAAGGCAAAAGCCGACAGTACTCATGATACTCATGAACCCGAAATAAGCTACGTAATTAAATCTTCTAAACTACAAATATGATTTTCTTATTCCATACTAATAGGTAGGAAGAGTTAGTGTCGGCTTTACTAAAGACAATGTCGACCCTATGTTTGACACAATGACTCCTTGTTTTTGATTTGTATCAAAAGAATCAAGCGTAACTTCTAAGAATGTTGAGCCAAAGAAAACAGAGATGAGTTATCACGATCAATATCAAAGAAATGAGGACCCAACAAACTTAGACAGTACACGTCACTCATGCTGAAACAAATAACAGCGATTTTCTGCCCTCTAGGTTCAAATAGCCTCATGTAAGAAGATCTTCAAAAACAAGCGATTCAATGGCGAAAATTGAAAACATACTCTCTTAGTACTGGGAATACTCAGACGATCTTCCTCTACAACAAAACCTAGACGAACACAGACCTAAACTCTTCGAATGATTTTATGGTATTAGAAGAAGACTAGAACTGTAACAAGTAATGGCGCTCACCTCCTTGACAAATTTCAGAAATGAATCATACTGGCTCCCAGAGTCACCAGGTCTAGATACATATTTCCCATGAAATGTAAATGGGCAGCAGGGCAAAACAAAGAACTCAATATTCCTCCTACAAAGCAAACTGAAGCTTCCGATAACTGAGCTTTTTGTAAAAGTTAACAAAAATTAACACAAGAGCACAGCTGAACGGAAGAGAAAAGATACCTTGCAGCCATGATAGGCATCCATGGTGTCAGTTCATCAGTATGATTACCAATAAGATAATCCACATCAGATGGAATGGAAGTTTCTTTCTGAAGCAATAGCTCGAACGTAGTGAAAGGCTAACAAATTTCGAAAGCATAGGCAGCCAAAAGAAAAGGTACCTGTGAGGGATCAACAACTTGTTCGATCAAGGAAGATTCAGAAAATTGTTCCGACCATATCTTCCGCTTGCGTATATCGATACCTATGCCGCTGACCTTAAAGCTCCCAACAACAAATTTGTTGAAAATAAGAAATTCTTATTGCAACAGTAAGAGGGGAGTGTTTAAAAGCATTAAAAAAACATTTAAAAAAACAACATACTGATATTTCTTGCTACAACTTACCCCTTCTTTATTCAACAAATGTACAAGTAAGCCATTTCCGCATCCCAAATCGGCGAATTTCCTCGGAAAACGTCCGCGTTTTCTCCATAACTCCTAAATTACCAACGTGAACTTGCAAATATTAATGAACGAAAGGAACGAACCAGCAAATATGCAGCAATGCCACAATCTTCATATACAAATTTCTTGGGGTCAGTCTTCTCCGTCCAACTCTTGAAGAAAGACGGTTACCACTAGCTATATCTACACATCAAAACTTACCTCTACCAATTTTCGCCCATACTCTTCCTTTATTCGCTTATATCTATGACTGTACTCTTCAAGATCTAATAAATTATTGGTTTTCCGCACAGTCTTATGAGGGTCAATGAACTGCAACCACTTGTGTAGCGCAGGAAAAACAGTATTGAGGAGCCATCGACAATCGGTATCCGCGACACATGTAGGAACAGAGAGGATCAAGCGTAGACTAGAATGAAAATGGTAAACACTACATGATTAAACAATGAATATAGTAAACGACTACATAGTAAATAACAGGGTAGAAAATGAAATCATAAGACTCCTTGCATCTGCGGCAAAGGACCACCCACAACTACAAGGAGCATAATATTGACTATGGGAGTCCGATTGATTGTATAAAGAATTTCGAAAGTCAAATAGTCAAAGAACGCATCAAAGGTCCAAATGCATCATGTTACTGATTGAGTTTGATTAGTTTTTGAACTGCGTTTGACTATACCCGTTCTAACGAAATTAACGCACCGAATTCTATTGAGATGACATAGCAATTGAAAGTTCATGAATCGAAAAAAGCGCACTTATGCGATTATGTGATTATCAAATGTCCGGGCCCAATAGTTAATACTTGAATGATCGAATACCCAAAAACCATCATTCGAATATTTGCAATCGAACATAAAGTTTTGGTAACATGTTCGAGCATACAGTACTAGCATAACTGAAAAAGCACTCAAAAATGGCTTATCGCTTATCTTACTGTTTACTCGAAGTGATCTTATAGATGTGTTACCATAAACTAAAGGTTTTAGACTGAGTTTAAAAGCAAAAAAGTCGAAGAATGCTTAAGGGGGCATTCAAAATGATAAACGACAGATTACAATCTCACTGAATGAAATTCTTTGACTTTCATAACTGTTCACTCGTAATACTTTCATCCGATCGAGTATTCAATATTCGGTCATAAAAGAACCTTAGATGTCAACTATGATAAACGATTGAACATGAAGTCGATCTCGCGAAATAAGAAAACATACGAAAATCTCAGTAACCAAACTATTTCTACTTGCCTGAACTCAGAGAGTACTTGACAGCTCAATTTATAGGGGAAAGGAATATGAGCGGTCTTCTTGTTGTTGCAGAGATCTAGTTGCACAGGAATAAAGACCACAACGAGTTCATCTGGAACGCGTTCATATCAATAAAGAAAAAACTCATTTCTTTACATAAAACATATATTGACATCAACAGGTCAGTATCTAAGGTACCCTGTAAGACACTCTAAGAATGTAATACCTTCATAGTAAGAAACTTCATAGCATTTTTGAGAAAACAACGCATCCTTTGGGATCAGTTTTCGCACTTCGCATTTGGGATCAAAGGAAACTAAAAACTGTCAATTAGCATTTTAAAAAATAAGCAAAAGATATGAAGATAAAGGAGAATAGATGTTTCCTACAAGCCTAAATTAAGGTACAGAATTTTCTTCCTAAAAAAACCCGCCAAAACCATACAGATCATTATCATCAAAAGACTATGCTAAGAAATCCTAGTTTAAAATCAAACTGTTCAACTTACCAGCGCTGACAAGCTCTAGAGCAGTTTGTAATATAGCAGAATAATCCTCGAAGTCTGATTTAACAGTCACGCTACCAAAAAGACGACGATTTACAGACTGAGACTGAGTTCTCCAAATCAAAATTATCTAAAACAAATACTGAGTCCATGAAAACAAAGATGCTGTGATTTCAAACTTGTAAAAAGAAAGATGTACAACTTCAACCTTATCAAAATAATCACAAGCTGCAACGGGATATGTATACTTCACCGAATCAGCGCATAATGTTCTCCAAAGCATAGAGCCGAAAACAATCCATAACGATTCAAAGCATTGAAGAAGGACGAAAAATAGAAGAAATCACGGTTAAACCCATATCTGAATCATACACAATCATGTAAAGCTTTATGAAAACTTTTTATGAACTGAGATCATGACGTATCAACCAACCGTAATAATAATGGGGAAACATATCATATGACTGATTAACAATCTAGCGATTCTGAGGGCCATAGTACCCATAATTTTTCATTCGATCCGCAACATCAGCACTAGTTTCGGAAGTGGAGGCTTCAAGAAAAGTACCTTGAAAAAACTGATTTAGATGCAGTTTCAAAGATGGGAGAGATAGCAAGCAAAGTTATGCAGTACGTCCAAATGCATAAATTACAGAGAAAAGGCTGTAAAAGATAGGAAAGGACGTAACTATACGTAGGTGTGGACCGCAAAAAAGAAAAACAAAGACTACTACAACATCCAGTCATAATGGCAGAGAACTCTTAAATCCAGAAAAATGTAAGTACTAGAAGATAACCATGCAAATGATTTGAGAGCAACTTGATTCAAGAAAAAATTCGCATGAGTTAATATTTTTGGTTTTTTTTT